AGGGTCTAAGGAATGGGCTCCAGCATGGTCCGGCTGGAAAAGACTTTACAAGCACCAAAAGTCCTGGCCTTTAGCATGGTCTTCACCACACCAACATGCTAAGGACAGTGGAGAAGGCTAAAAACTGTAAATTGAAAACTTCATTTGCTAGAAACTTTGAACTTTACAGACACCTTTGACTGGAGACATTACTGGCATCCTATATGACAGGTTTGACATGTATGCAAATGAATGGACATACTTTCTTTTTATTCTTTTTTTAATTGTGCTGGGGGTACACTGTGTCATTTACAAAAGTTCTTACAAAATATCATACCTGAATTCACCCCCTCCATCACGCTCCTTTATCTCTCTCCCCCATTGCTGGAATAGTTTCCACTTACAAACACATATACATGATATTTGCACCATATTCACCCTCCTACACTCTTTCCCAACATCCTCCCCCTCTCTGGTACCAACCCCCCAGCTAGGACCCATTCCTCCTGTTCTCAGATTTTGTAAAAGAAGAAACAAAATGACATTTCTGGTTGTTTAAGATAGCTACACAGGGAGTTTCCCTTGACATTTCCATGTGTATGTATGTATTATAACCTGAATTGGCTCATCTACTCTATTTTTCTCCTTTCTACTTTAGTCCCCTTCTTATGTACACTTACTTTCTTTGATTTTTCCTCTCTACCACCAAAAGTTTCCCTCATTTGCCCATTACACAAATACTCTCTATCATACTCAACCTCTTTCTATGCTTTTCATGTATGTCTATGTACACACATACACATATTAAACCATTAAATTTAAACCATACAACTTTAAACACATTTTAAAAATTCATATGTACATATATACCTGTTTTTACACAGATATACATGCATATATACATACATGCACATTTTTTAACCTGAAAAAAAATTCATGTTATGAGTAGTACAGAAAATTAAAACTTTTCTTTAGGCAGTTAAATTACTCCTCTCCTTTATATTCCTACCCTAACTCTACTCTACTTGGCTTACTTAACATACCATCATATTAAATGGAACTCATTAATTTGCTTGTTTTCTTCATTACTATAAAATTTTGAGAATGAGAGCTAAGCTTATGCAGTTCTCAGTACCTAATAAAAACATTTCTATTAATAAGCTAATTAATAAAAAGAACAGAACATTAATATAAAAGTAATGCATAACATCAGTTACTCAGTCAAGGAAGTTGAAAGTGTTTCCACAAATTCAAAAGACTTCCGTGATAATACAAGCAATGTAATGTGTTAAAGAAAGAAGACCAAGTAATTATTAATTACTAACGAGGAAAAAAATCACACACATTTTTAAGATATACTGATTGGGAAAGCTATCATCTCTGCTTTATAATGAAAAACCTATCATATAATCAATCCAAAAATTGACAAGTAAATATTGGGAGGAAAAAATGTCTGTTCTTGTAGCCTAAGCTTTTTTTCATAAAATGCTTTTCAAGATCCAGCATAAGTTAGGTAAGCTGCACAGGCATTCTGGACAACTGTGAAGCAATGACATCGTTGCCATTAAACAAAGTTGAAGTCAGTGAGCTTTCATAATGTCAACATCCTGAAATGAGTTCTTGTCATGAAATGTCATGCACTTTGTTACAGAACCTCAGGCCTTTGTGAGCATGTTATGACTATGGCCGAAGCAAAGGAAAACAGGAGTGTCTCTAAATCAATCATGGGCCATGAAGCCAGACGACTGTATGACAGTTGCAATTTTTCTTGGCACCACTTGGGCATAACTAATTGATGACAATCGTATGTCCACACTGGCACATTTCCACAGGGGATGTGTGCAAATATGTCACCACATCTGGATGCTAGGCATGCTGGGTCCTGAGGCACAAAGACCTACTAAAACCAGAGGCCCAGCAGCTGTGCTCAATGAACACCAAGGGAGCGCCACAGAGTGATGAAAGGGCTAAATTACCGCAGACTGTAAATACAGATTTATTTCATTAAAATACAAGGTAACTACTGTAGCCATCACTTGTTCAGACAGACATTTGCCTCTTTTTAAAGGCTAGCATCCTTTGTGTGTGTGTACATATATATGTTATTTACATATATATATATATACACACACACACACACAAAATCCTAACTTCATCAAGGAAATCTGCATTTCACCTATGAAAAGATGATGACACACAGTATGCAGCAAAATCAACAAAGTGTGTGATTCCCTTTCAGTTAAAAAAAATTCCACACAGAAGCTAGAAAGGAAAAATATGATAGTCTATTGTCATCATGTTTGTAAGAATAGTCCTCTTTCATTTAATTCAAATGCAAGATTTACATAACTTGTTACAAAGCTTACACTGAAAATTCAACATCCTATAACAAAAATACACTGCAACATATTATTATGTAATTATACATTTAATATGGAAGACAAGTGTACATAAATTGGTAATTTTCCCTAACACAAATATAGAAAACAGAGTAAACAATAATTTTATTCTGACTCTACACTACAAAGTATTAACACAATAATAAATTATTTAAAATAAATTTTCAATAATTATGCAAAATGATAAAAAGTTCTCATGAAAAGCTTTCTTTCTATTCACAATATTACTTCAGTAATAAAAACAATTTATAACTGAGAATCCATCCATATATATATATATAGTTGAATCTTCTCATAAATCTTAAATAATTACTTCTCTCATGCAGAGTAAAAGAAATTATCCTACAACAGTAGTTTATCTATGTCCTCACAATAAAACTCTAATTTTTATCAGGTCAGAAACATTTTCCTAGCAATGCTAGAAATCTCTCTGTATAGCTGTCCTTATCTCAACTAGCAAAAAATGCTATGTCTTTCTTATTATTCCTTATTTCTACTCTTCAACGGAACTGGAGAAAAGCACAGAACAGATTCTGCCTGGAAGCGAGGGTGGGGGAGAGGGTGGAGGCAGAGGGCAGGGGGGGAGAAATGACCCAAACAATGTATGCACATGTGAACAAATAAATAAAAATAAATAAAGATGGATGGGGCCCTAGGGAAAAAAAAGAAACATTTTCCTATACCTTTTCTTTTCAGACAATTTTTCTTCATCTCTCTCATTTGTTTCCTTCCTTGTCCTGCCTTCCTTTAGAGCTGCCTAATAATCTTATTTTAAAAATCCTCATATCTGTATCCACCAGTCTAGCACTGGACTGAACTTCCAAGATGTCTAGTTAACCTATGCTGATTGGTGGGTAACGAGAGGTACGCCAAATTAAGCAACCCCTCCCCGGAGGATAACTGAGACGTGAAAGCCATCTCTCTCTATTCGCTAAACATGTACATGGTAAAGGAAGGCATTACTAATACATTAGACTTTTCCACATGTGGATTAAATAAAGAAAATAATTTCTTTTTAGAAAAATCATAAAAGGTTCTTTAATAACCCTTTTCACTTACAGGTCTGCAAATGCTCTAAGTAGCAAAACCATGACTAAAAAGATGGCATCATTTAATATCTTATATGAAAAAAAGAATAAGTAAGTAAAAGGAGACTTCTTATATGATCATTAAAAATAGTTGATGACTTTTCTCATAAATTCATCTAAGATTATCACTTAACATGAAAATCATCCACATCTCAGAGATTCTGGTCCCACCATAACATAGTATCTCAACTCTATGAATTTAAAAAACACAAATTATAGATTTCAGGAAATGGTGGGAGAGAAATGCAGACAAAAAAGGAAGGGTAAGAAGGAAAAAAAGAAAGGAAGAAATAAAATGCAGCTGGTACAGCTGCTGATGCTAAGACAACTTAGGTACCCTCTGACTTCATCATCTATATCACTTTTACCACCATTGACAGCTGGGACATCCAGGTCAAAGAGTAGAATTCTGCACCCAGTCCAGCACAGGTCCTCCGACTAGGTCTAGGTGCACTATTTGGCTTATTTCTTATCATCTGCCTCCAGACTGTAAGGTTGACATCTAAAGCGATTTTTTTTTTTTTGTAGTGCTAAAGATTGAACCCAGAGCCTCACAAATGCTAAATAGGCACTCTACAACTGACTTATACAAACATTAACTATTTGGTCAACAGATGTTAACAGTTTAGTAAACAACCTAATTCTATTTAATGAGTTATCCTGTCCCACGGATTTATGGTGCATGCATTGTAAATGCTAGTGAACCAGCCTCCCCACTAAAGGAGCAGCAGTGGTCCTACTAAGAATGACTCCAGCTGCTCTCTTCTCTGACTTCAAGTAACAGCAGAGCAACAGAATGGGGTTGCAGAGATGGACAGGACAGGTGCGAATACTGTAATGGTCATCAAGTTCATCGCCCAGTGGCCCTGTTTTTTTTCAAACCCTTTTACACAGGGTCACGGGCCTTGGAATGTAGAGTCCTCCACTTTCTATTCTGCCTAATATCTTCCCAAGAGCAGAGCCCAGTGCCCAAATGGCAAGTAACAGGAATAGATGTAGTGCTAATTCAGATTTCAAAAAGTATAAGGCTTTAGAAAAAGAACATTTTCAGCAATCTTTTCCACCCCAAGAGTTGAGAGCTAAATCAACAAACAATGCCCAGCCCACAGGTTTATTACTGGGACTTACACAAACCTCTCTGGTGGCCCTTTGTTTTTCAATGTGAACAGAAACCAAAAAAAAAGTACAACTTAATGGATTTCAAATGCTTTGCTTGACCTCCTTCCCCAAATCAAACCACAGAGAAACACAACTTTTGTTTTTCCCAATTAATAAATGTCCTAGAATTTGGAACAATCAAATTTTCCTTTCTAAAATGAATCTATATTTAGGTTCAATGTTATTTGCCAGAAGCAGTGAAAACTAAGTAGTAAGAGGCTTAGAGGTTTTTTGACAACTTCATTTTTTTATCTACAATTATAAGTGTAAAATGTCACTTTAAAAAACAGTCATCTTTTTTTAAAAAGTCACCTATTTGTATGTCTTCATGCCCGCATCATTATATGAACTGCAACCTCTCACTGTAAACACTTACCTGACCTTTTTGCCTTGCTCAGTGAGCATCTTTACCAAATCAGCAATGGGGTACTGAGCTTTGGCTGCGCAGAGTCCATAGCCTGCAAAGAACACCAAGAACACAGAAGAATGTGTTTTTTATTGTGAAATCTGAGGAATTACAATTTCTCTCTTGATCAAAACATATTACTATGCCAACACAGGCAATCAGTTAACAGGACTAGAAATGAAAGCAAATTTATAATTTGGACTTTAAAAACTATTAGCCTGAATTTGAAATTCAAAACCTAATGATCTCTCCTCAGTCTTTTTTGGGTCTGATGCTGCCAGGTACCCCATGCCCACATACCACACACATAGTTGTCCACATACTCTCTTCTCTCTCTCCCTCTTGCACACATTTTTAAATTCTGCATACTTGGTTTTGATGACACTAAAGTTCTGTGGTTTCCTTCCTAACTTTGTTACTATTCTTCCACAGATTCTCTGAATGGTTTTTTTCTCCTTCTGTTCTCCCTAAATGGCCAAGTTTCCCACAGGGCTTTAAGCTTGTCCAGCACCTCTCATTAAATCTCAGCTCATCTCAGGACTACAACAACCATCTGATGACTCATGTAGGTAAACCTGCCATTTGAGCTCTGTCCAAACTTAATGTCTCAAAAAAAGAAAATTTAAAGTCCTTCCCCACACCTAAGTTAAAATTTTAAAGTTCTCTATACTAGATTTTATTTATTTATTTATTCATTTATTTATTTTATTGTTGTGCTGGGTGGGGGTACATTGTGGCATTTACAAAAGTTCTTACAACATATCAAATGTATCATACTTGAATTCACCCCCTCCATCATTCTCCTTTGTTACGGGTACAATCAGGAAAGTTAGCCATCTTCCTTCTCCTTTAACTCCTACATTTCTTCCATTCTCCCTGTACAATTTTACATCTATCCTCATGTTTCTAGCCTGCTTTTCTTCTATTATTATTATTGTTTTTACATTCACTCACATGTGCACAAACTGTTTGGGCCACCTCCTTACCCCCACTTCTGGGCAGAATCTGTTCTGCCCTCTTGTTCCCCAATTTTGTTGAAGAAAATATAAGAGACAATTTGAGATGAAGATAGCTATACAGAAGATTCCTAGTATTGCTTCCATGCACAAGTGTATTACAACCCACAATGGTTCATCTCTAGCAGAACTCTGCTATTTACTGGTCCCTTCCCATAGTCACTCCTCAACAGTAAGCACATCAAGCACATTCAAGTTTTAGGTTTCCTTCTCTTTCCCTATTCTCCCCTTAGTGTGTGACCCATGTCCAATAATATTACTGCATTTGTTTTAGTTTTATAATCTACATATGAAGGAGAACATGCGATTTTTTTTGCCTTTTGAGCCTATCTTTGCTTAAGACGATATTTTTTAGTTCCATCCATTTACTTGAGAATGACAAAATTTCAATCTTCTTTGTGTCTAGCCCATTTTTCAAATGTCAACATTTTGCTCAAGTTATTCCCTCTGCCATTCCCCATCCATCCTCTAAAACTCAAAACAAATCCTCACTTCCCTACAAACCCTCCTAGGTTTCTATGCCTTTCAATTTACCCATTATCAATGACCCACCTTGCATTATACCTATCTGACTTATTCACAAGATAGAAAATACCTAAAGGACAAGAGTATTTCCTCTACATCTTTGTACCTTTCTACTACAGCACAGCTTCTCAATAGGTGCCACTTTGGGACAATTCATTATGCAGGTGTGTCCCACACATTACAGTACAGTATAGTTCATCTGCTTCTATCTAGTATTGGCAAATAGAAGTCCCATCTTTGTGGCACCCAAAAACCCAAACTCATCTGTTTTAAATGCCCTTTAAAAGTAATACTGTCCCAAATTGAAAGGGTTTTCACCTTAATATTCAATTCAGCTAATGTTTGTTGCTTTTATTTTAGCATGTAACCAACCAGTAAGCTACCCACAAGTCAAATCAGTAGACTTTCTACACATAAGACACCTATGATAGCATGACAGAGTTAAAATCTTGATCTGAAACCAATTGGTTGTCCATAATACTATAACATTCTGTGATTAGAGTGAAGAATCAAGATACAGCTTAGAAAATTGGAAATTGAGGGCTAGTCAGTTAATGTCATGTCTTAGTCAATCTCATGACTTCATCAATGCCATGCAGACTGTTAGAGGCAAAATTAAGAACAAAAAGATGTTACAACTCCCAGACTAAGCTCTTTCTAGTAGGCCATGTTGTCTCGTCTTATTGAAAATCATGTGATTCTTAATGATTTTTTAGATATTCATTTTTGAAAAGAGGACTAACATTTACTGAACAAGTCTAATGAGTGAGCCATACATTTTTTTTACTATATCTAACCTTGATACTAGACCCAAAATTTGCCCATGAGAAAAAATAGCCAAGACTCAACACTGACTTAACACATGTACAGAATCATAGAAAAATATGTCTAGAACCATTATGTCAATTGATAGATTATCTATATGATCCCAAAACATTAACCTAAACTGAGAAAAATCTCAGTATTTCTCTCTTAGTAACTATAGAACTACTACTGTTTCCATTGTTTCCAAAAATGAGGAATTTCCAATTCTACTTTTTCCCTATTACAAGAATTTTGTTTACTTTTTTATTTTAGCTTTTTTTTCTTTACCTGGAGTAATAATAATGCTCTTAGCTTCTTGAATCATGTCAATTGCATTGTCAAGATTGATTTCTGTATGTGTGCCAGAAATTTCCATTGGCTTTCCACCAGCTGTTGAAGTGGTACCATAGCCTCCAAGAATCACATTAGCCAGGGAGCGATTCATTGCCTAAAAAGCAAAATTATCAGCTGTGAGAGTTTAGTCCACAGAACTCTGAAAATGATACATACTTTGTGCATATGATATCCAGAACCATTCAAACAGGTTTATTTGATCATTTAAAGCATTTCCATCAGATAAATTTGAGCCCAAAAATTATTTCAAAATTTTAAATGACAGAGACATCTGAAAACACATCACTTTTTTAGTAATGAGTCAGTTGCACACTGATATATTTTCAGGAAAAAAAATTAAAGAACAAAGCATTTAATGAAAGTTACCAGTAAAATTTAGAAATTTATGAAAAAATAGGATCTACTATTACTGGCTGAGAAAATTTTCTCCATATATTTACATGTATTTCACCAGAGTGATAAAGGACCAAAGGGAATGAGACAAAAAAAAATCACAAAGTGACCCTACAGATCTCTGCAGTGAATTCTACCACCAGACACAAGCTGTCAAGAGGCAACAGAAGGAATCAAAATGATAAACACACATTTCATTTAGAATTCTGCTGCCTTCTGAATTCGAGGGAAAAAATAGAGGTTGACACTCTTATTTTCCAAATGCACTACTGTTTCAAGAAATGCTATGCTTAAGTTGTCATAGTAGATAGACTTGTCATTAGGATCCTAAATATTTCACTTGCCAAGAGGTGGATGAATAAGATAAAGGATAAGGGTATACACTGTTTAAATTTATACCCACCCTTTAACTAGCTCAAAGGAGAAAAGTAAAAGAAAGACACTTTGTTCATTGCATGCTCACTTACAATCATCCCACAATGCATTATATGAATGCCACAACTGAAATACATGAAAATAAGTGCTCTGGTTTGGAAAATAATTCATTTGTTTGGAGGTGGGGTGGTAAAAGAAAAAGAATCTAGATATTTTAAGAAACAAAACTTATCTCAAGAATTCAAATCACTTAATGTACATGAGTCAAAGCAGTCATTCTAAATGATTAGAATGGAATTTATCACTTCGGAAAAAAAATCCCCCCAAAATTTTAAAGCTTATCTTAACAGTTGTAATAAGTACATCCACTTTACCACTTAAAGGCTATCAAGCGTCAACTTATTAATTAAAAAAACAAAACAACACTATATAATTTAAAAAAGAAAAAGCACCTAGAGATCTTCAAGGATAAGCATTATAGCAGGAGAAAATCATGACCCCCTGTAAGATGACCCAGCCAGAGACACCACTTTGTGCAAATACCTGCATAGCTGCTGAAATATGACGATAAGGCAAGGAGGAGAAAGAACACAGAAGATAGCAAAAAGCGTGCTTAATAAATGCACAAGTTTCAAAGATGATAGATCAAAATATTGTCAGAATTTAATATTACAAACTTTTTGTCAATAATACATAAGGATGGACAATAAAACCATGAACTATTTTGCTATATTTTTCTTAAAATTATTTTTGAAGTTTGCTTATTAGCTTAAAACCTTATCATATTTTTAAAAATCATCTTTAATAAGTATAGACTCATCCTAGACCTATTTAGATTTAATTTATCTGTTGGCTTTAAAGAAATCTTATTATAAAAGAAAAAAAAAGAAATCTTATTTCAGAATGATCACTAAATAGAATAATGCTCGTGTATTAGCTAACGTAAGTGAAATATCTCTTAAGTAAGATTGTCTTTCATCTAACCAAATTAGGGCATGCAGTTTAGTTTGGGTGAGAAAGGGAGTAAGAACTGATCTTCTATTTTTATGATTATTATTTTACTGTTTTTACATTTACTCACATGTATATACACTGTTTGGACAACCTACTCCCCCCAATCCCTCCCGCTTCCAGGCAGAACCTGTTCCACCCTCTTCTCCAATTTTGTTAAAGAAAAATCTTAAAAGATAATAGCAAAGACACAGCATTTTTGCTAGTTTGAAATAATATAACTATGCAGAGAGATTCCTAGCGAGAACCAATCTTCTTTAATGCTCTGCCTATTTCAAAAACAAGATTTAAAGTGGCTTTTTACAGAATGCTGTGAAGGTAAGATGCTCATGGGCTATAGAAAATATTAAAATAATTTGCTTGGGAGTTTGCAGTCACTATTGCCAAATTTTGTAGGGCTCTTATAGTTGGGGGTTTGTGCTCCCTAGCTGTGGCTGTGTTGCTTTCTGGTAAAGGGGGATAGCTGGTGGCCATGGCCTCTGGGCTAGGATGAACTGTGCTCCCAGTGGGGCTGAGCCTGAGCCATGGGCAGCACAGTGGCAGCAGTTGAGCTACACTGCTGTTGCACGATTTACAGGCCATTGTGTCTTATAAGTCATGAAGAATATGGAGTCTCAAGTAAAACAGGTTTTTCAAAGTCTACCAAAATCTGCCTTCAGTAGTGGCTATTACAGAGAAGAGCTTGAATCCAAAATGACAAACTGGGAAGCAGCATTAATACTAGATTTAAGTTTAATTTATGTGTGTCTCTGAGGTTAAAAAAAAATTGCTTGGGAGTAACTTTTAATCTGAAAAAGACAAAGATGTCCTGAGTCACATTAAACATGTTACTGTGATTTGGGACTATAAAAACTTGAAGACAAAAACTGATGAAATGGTTTCACTAAATATATAACATTCAATGAGAAAACTGCTTAACTAAATGTGAGAATTAAATAGATCTGTGAACTTTATTTCCTCAGTAACCATTTTTGTTTTATGTGAAATGATTTCACATTTAACTTTTGCCTAAATTGTAGCAGCATGTCATTACTTTACTTTGAAGGGTATTTTAGTGTTGCAAAAAACTGCAAGTAAACCGTTTAAGTAATTCTGTCTACAGTAGTAATAAAGTTCTTGATGCTTTTTTAAAAAACAGAATTTAATTATTCTTTCACCTAAGTTAATTTATCAAACACAACATTCTTACTTTACTGAGCGCAGTCTGATAAATTAGTCTAAGATTATTATAAAAATAAAGTCTGAAAATATCTATATCTATCTATCTATATAACAGACTCTAAAGAGATAATACTGTCAGAAAAAAATTAAAGTAATGCTTTTAATTAAGTTCATAATCCCAACCTGAAATGAAGCTTTAAATTCGTAAGTGAAAACCGAAATAGCCACACCTAAGACTTCCCAAACACCCAAGTTTTGATATTTACAAATCTTTTACTCTTTTTGAATTACAGATTTCTAAAATTAAGTTATCAAAAAATACATTCTACTAAACATTTGCTTTTAAAACTTGATTCAAAACTATTTTAAAAATTATTTTAAATGGAGGGGATGAACCAATTTGGGATACAATACATATATACACAGAAATGTCATAATGAAACTCTCTTAAATAAACAAAAGTGTCTTCTTTTCTAAAAACAGAGGACAAAAAGGTAAAGCAGGTCTTGTCTGAGAGTTGGTACAGGAAGGGGGAGAATATAAGGAAAGAGTGAAGAAGGGTGAATATTATAGAAATACTATGTACTCATGTATAAAAATGGGGAAATGAGACCTGCTGATACTACTCTAAGAATGGAGGGAGGGGGAATAAAGGAGAATGATGGAGGGGGAAATTCAAATATGATACAATGTAAGAATTTTTGTAAATGTCACAATGTATCCCCAGTACAACAATAATATAATAAAAAAAATTTAGACATTGAGATATTTCTGTCATAGGTAATGTACTTATCACATAGCCATCCATGCAGAAGGCTAGATCCCAGAGAGACAAGACACAGAGGAATAGATGTATAGGGGACATAACCACGTAATTCTAACTTGGTTTAAAAGGAAGGAAGCATTATTTTAAAACCAAATGGAAAAGAAGGAAAAATTTCTGAGGACATTTAATTAAAGTGTACCCACTTCTGATGGCAACTTAAAGAGAAAAAACAGTGAGTCCCACAATAGTTTTAACAATCAAAGTCTATTTGTTTGAACACATAGTCACAATTATATCACCATTATGTTAATTCTGTGTGGTCTCTTAAAAACTAACTTATTTTTTCATCTCTAAATCTGCCATTGCAACATCATGTCCTCAACAAATGTTTAAGGTTTATGGATTTCTTTCTTTTTTTTTTTTTTCCTTGCTTAAGTGATCCATGAAACTATCCTGTGGCAGCTAATCCACAGATTGAAGAGTTCCTAGCTTCCAAGACAAAAAATTTACAACACTGTCTAAGACTGTTCCTTTTAAGCTAATAAGACTTATAATAAAACTTTGATTTTACATTAAACAGAATCTTAATTCACATAATTCCAAGTACACTGTGAGAAATAAGTTTGAAAACAAAGGAAAGATCATAATACAAGAAAGCTGAAGCAGTAATGTATATGCCATTTACCAGCATCTTCAGTAGTAGGTACCAATTAATTAATCACAAAGCAAAAAAGAAATTATTTTGGGTTTAGCTTTTGATTCACTTCATTCTGTTCCACTTTCACTTGAAAACAAGCAGTGAAGTACAAAGATCAGAAAATTTTGTTTGAAATGTTGTTCTAGTTGTGCAAGACCTCTGTTTCCCAGGTAATCAGCAGAGGGGCTAAAAAATTACAAAGAGGTTAATGTCTATTCAATACCTGGATATAAAGCAAATCTAATTTGCACTTATTGTTTAGACACTGCCAATGTTTCTCTGTTTTTATAATATGGGATGTTATACAATCGCAGCACTGGGCTCAGAGCATACCCAAAGGAATTCATTGTCAGAACAGAAATCCAATTTTAGAGATGGCTGGTTAGCCACTGGGGAGCATTCCATTTCTTCCCATATAGTAAAACTACCCTGCTTTGGTTAGGACTTACATGTTTCCTTCAATAAATAACAATGATGGTCAGCAAACTTGTATCACGTTAACTCTAATATTATCTGTTACCATAATCTATCTATGGAGCATTCCAAAACATTAAATGAGCTAACAACATATTCATCTAGTGTTCATTTAAAAAGCATCATACCCATTTGAATGTTCCAGGTGCTTGGCCAGGTGAATATCTTACATACCTCCTCTGCAAAATGCAAAGAATATTTCCTACCTCCGGAATTACTGTGAGAATTGAATGAGCTAACATTTGTAAAGCACCCAGCATGTTGCTTGCAGTATTGCAC